GCCACCCAGGTGAAAGATTAAGAGAAAATTATAGACTCCTGGCTTCCCCCAAGGGTGGCCATTTGGAAAGGGAACTTATGCATGAACTGTATTTGTGTATGTGTATGTGTGCATGCATATGTATACATGTGTGTATCTGCATGTCTTTTGGGGGGGCAACTGACTTTCAAACACATAAATAAGGCTTTAAATAAAGAATACACACTAAATTTGAATTACCTGTTACAGCAAATGAAACAATGGCTTTTTCATCTGTCACCACAAATGTCTATCCCCTCACCTTTACAAAAATAACCTGAAGGAAGATTGTCCTCATTTTTTTATCTACACACACTCACACACACACACACACACACACTCACATATGCTTAGTTCATATGCATAGGTAAGAGCAACAAAGCCCATTTTGTTCTTTTTTTTGAAGCATGGATGGTTGCACAACTAAAGTATTTCAGGCAAGACCTAACTCAGCATCTCTTGAAAAACTCAAGAGATGTCTTGGGAGATGAGGCATAGCTGAGCTCTGAGAAAACAGTAAATCAGAATGACAGTGAGCCTGGCACTTCTTAACTGATGAGTCAGCAAAGTTCAGAAGAAGTAGTTGAAGGTCATCGTGTATATAGCTTGAGAAAAATAGAATGTTAGAATTATCATGCCAGGATGAAGTCCACAAAGACAACTTAGGGGATATTGTTATTTGTCCGAGAGAGCTCAGGAAAGTGGGATTTATTCTTTTCTGGTGAGTGTGGCATCTTACTGCCTTCTGCATGGGCTGCGCCTTCTCTTCCCTCCCTAACTTTTGGAGGTCTGCTAATACACTTCCTGCCTACTGATCTAATTATTGGGAATCCCAGCTTCTGTCATCAAGTAATTTAGGCTCAAATAGCAAACAGTCAAAAGTGCAGTACTTTAACTGTTTTCTGTGAGGCTGGTGAGCCTAATTTATTGAGTGCATTCTGAGGTTTAAAGGAAAGTTAAACACAGACCTAAGTTCTTCTGATTGACACAGGATAGATGTATTTGAACTCCTCAAAGCTTTTCATATACTTCCAAATGAAAATCATAAGTCTTTTATTTTATAGCTAAAAATTGCCCCAGAAATATGTCAATAACTCATTTTGTCAGCCAACTGTTAAAAACAAATTCTTACTCCACAAGAATACACAACATAAAAACAGTCTGATATGAACAGATAAGTAAAACTTGGAAATTGACAAGGAACCCTAGATAAAACAGGAAATGGTACTTATTAGACAACTTGTATGTGTGTGACATTGTATCAGGCATTTTGATAGGTATCTTACCTTTCCAAGATGAGATGAAGTTTACATTCTGTATTGTTTATGTAAATAAACTATTTCAAGTTTTGAAATTTTAAAATACTCAATTTCAGGAAATTGAAGGAAGCATTTTAATAACCATCAACATATAAATTCCAGATTCTTTGAGTATATCATATTTTCAAAGGTAAGAATAAAAAGGGAATTTGATCAATCACATTGCAGTGTGAGAATGAGCTTACTAATTAGGAATTTTAAATAAAATAAATCACAGTGTCTTTTCCAAAGTAATTACACACAAAAAAGTTATTCTGAATAATACTATAATACGTTCCCAGACTTAAAAAGTCAATCATTGTCTGACTGTTCATATGATCTCAGTATATGATCTTAAGACTTATTCAGAAAAATGGGTTTATGTTGTCAAACCAAGCCTGAGAATGCATAAAATTTTGTGGCACAAATTTATTTCTTACAAGGAAAGCGACTTACACACAGTATAAGTTTTAACAAATACTTTGTATTAATACTCCAAAATGAGAACTGACTCTTCTTGAAATTATAGCGTAATACTTCTCATCCTGCAATGCTTTAAAGTGTGAATAAAAATGTGTCTCTTGATGCAATTTCTTCTTAAGGAGAAATCAGTTTTCTTTTACTTTTCTTTTAAATGTTTATTTATTTTTATTGGAAATGCAGATATACAGAGAGGAGAAATCAGTTTTCTTTTACTTTTCTTTTAAATGTTTATTTATTTTTATTGGAAATGCAGATATACAGAGAGGAGAGAAAGATTTTCTGTCTGCTCATTCACTCCGAAGTGGCCACAACTGCCAGAGCTGAGCAGATCCAAAGCTAGGAGCCAGGAGCCTCCTCCAGGTCTCCCACACAGGCACAGGGTTCCATGCCTTTGCTCTTAATAATTCCAAATGCTAATATCATTGGAAAAATTAAAAGCTGTATTTGGCCAGCTTTGTATTTTTTGAAGCATAACATCATGAAGCAATCAAAGAAAGTTACAGTGAAGAGTGAGTACTTCATGTAGCAGCTGTTGGGGCACAGCCTAAGATGCCGAAATTCCATATCCTAGACCACATTGAATCCTGGATATCTGCTTCCCATTCATCTCCCTGATGATGCATCCTGGGAGGCAGTATATGCTGGTCTGCTTATTTATGCCTCTCTCACTGCTGCGGGACACCTGGATATGGTTATAGATTTTGGCTTCAACCTAACCCAAGCCTGCAGGCATTTAGTAAGTGAACCAGTGGATGTGAAATTTCCATTTGCTAAAGTCCTCACGTCACACACAGTAAGATCCCATACGGGCCCTGGTTCATATTGAATCTGCTCCACTTTCCACCCAACTTCGTGCTTTTGGTCTGGGAAAGCAGTAGTGGACGGCCCAAAACCTTAGGAAGCTTCACCCACATAGGAGACCTGGAAGAGGCTCCTGGCTCCTGGCTTCAGATCAGCTTAGCTCTAGCTGTTGTGGCTACTTGGGAGGTGGACCAGCAGATTGAAGATATCTCCTTCTCTCTGCATATTTGTGTTTCAAAAAAAATGAATAAATCTTTAAAAGTTAAACTAACAAAACCTCCATCTCACTTAAAAAACAATTTTGAAGTTTCTTTGTTTTTCAAGTTTAATGTAACAATTGGATCAAACTGTTAAGAGAAACTAAAGAGCCATTAATAATCTTGAGTTTTCTCTCAAATATAAACTGTTACACCTTGACAAAAAGTGAAAAATGAAGTAGAACAAAATTTCTGTGGTGAGGATCAGTCAATGGTGGTGTGTGCTTTTGAACGAGATGATAGAAGTGTTCTTGGATATACATTCTTTTTTTTTAAAGACAAATACACTATTTGAAAATCATTTGATTTGAAGCAATACATCTTTTTCTTATCTTACGATGTTTCCTTATACAAGGTTGGAAAATAACAGCACCTGCCGCGAATGGCTGCTGTGGCAACTGTGAGAAGACACAGAAACTGAATGGCTGGTCCACAGTAAAAATAAATACACTATGGACTATACACTGTACACTATGGAAGGAGAGCATCCCGGAGCCAGCCTGAGTTTTCATTAATCCAACGTTCTGGATCCCAACCAGAGAAGGGATGAGTAGTATGAATTATGGACATCAGAACTTGTCTTTTACTACCTGTGTCCTCGCATAATCAAATGTTGGGACTGAAGAAAGCAGAACATATTTCATTCTAGTTATGGGCACTGAACTACAACTGCCATGGGATGATGTACGACCTTATCTTTATAAACCTATACTGGAATCGTTATAATGGGAAAATTACACTTACGTTGAACAAATATTAGATTTAAATGCCCCCAAATGAGTATCTGGAGTCGATTATAGTTCACTACATTCTTAAATAATGTGAAGCAATGCTTGATATTCTGCAGTGAAATTTTCAAACTTGATGTATCTCTCTGCTCATTATTTGACAAAATCATAGATAATTACTGCAAAATGTATGATTGATCACACTCATTTGTAAATATATCAATCAACATTTGCACATCAATTAAGCAACTATAAAGTATAATGCAAAATCTAACCATTGTGTGATTTTTCACAAATATATAGCCAATAATCCTTCATTTATGAATCTTACGATACAATTAAAAAGATAAATGTAGAAAGCAGCATTATAGAAAAATTACCATTACCAGAAAATCTATGTGTAACAATGCAGATACATTCCTGTGATACATTTTGTTCTCCTTTTTCTTTTAAAGGTTGATTCATTTATTTGAAAGCAAGTGCTCTGTATTGAAAGGAAGGAGATAAAAAGGAGAGACAGAGTGAGAGAGGGAAAGAGAGAAATAGAGAAATTATCTGTGTTCTGATTCATTTTCCAAATGGCTGCATCAGAGGGGGTTCAGTCAGACTGAAGCCAGAAATAACTTCATAGCAATCTCCCACATGGATGTCAGTGGTTCAAGTACTTGAGCAATACTCCAATTCCCAGGCAGATTTGCTGGATGAGAAGCTTATTAAGGAGAACTTGTTATAGAATGCAGGCATCCAGAGATAAGGTTAAATATGCTGAAAACATTTTAATATTGTGTACTCACTTCTGAATAGCAAAGAACTTTGAAAATGGAATCTTCAAATCAGTTTACAATTTCCTAATCTTAATACTGTTTTCTAGTTAGGTATTCAGTTGTGATATATTTTCAACTAAAAGCAAATCCCATAACGTAAAATGACACATTCAACTTGAGCTACTTAGAAAATTCACCTCACAGTTCCTTTGAAATAAATGATAGTGTTGAATGTAGAACTATTCATTTTACAATAAAAACGCAAAAACACTATTGAAATCTTGTCCAAGGTAGTTTAGCTAGTAGTGACAAAAGTTTTACTGTTTGTCAAGTTCTCTGTCTTCAACAGGTTGTTAGCACTCCTACTGTTCTTTGATTTTAAAATAAGGCCTTGCATTAAAAAAGTTCTTTGTGTTTCCTGTCCATCATTACTTTTGACCATTACAACACTCCAATGAAGTAATCCATGGTGATTCTTTTTGTTTTGTTTCTAGTATTGTGTTTTTATGGGAATATAAGGGAAGAGGGACAAAGCAGGGTAGAGGAAAGGGTTGGAGAACACATGACCTTATGTTCTATTTTGTCTCCAACTGATCCACCTGAAAGACACGTCTTGTAACATACACCAGGATTGTTTTGGTGAGTTTCAAGAAAAATATGAACTGCGTCACGAATATACATTTCGACCCTTCTCGGGGCCATGTTAATTTTCTGTGTTTCTTTCCAATTCTAGTGCATGTGCAGCCAAAGCAAGCACCTGCTGATTCTTTAAAGAATAAAAGTTGATAAACACTCGGATGATGCTGGAAATCAGGCAGTTTACTAAACACAGCTTATATAAATCTCATGTCCAAATATATGTAAAAATAGTAAAAGAAATAGGTAAATGACCAAATAAATTGAGATACAGGAAGCCTATCTTCTCATCTCTGTATTTACCAATAACAACAAAACAAAACAAAAAAGAGAAAGAAAATGAAAAGGGCTCAAGTGACAGTTTAGAAAATTTTAAGGTTGCTTTTAATCCGTCAGTGCATATGTAGTTCAAAGATATTTTACACCAAAATAAACATGTTTTAAATAAATTTCCATAAATAAGTTGAATTACCTGACTTATATATGGGCATATGCATAGGTTTCTACATATGTATATACATATTAATATATATATTATATATGTACATACATATATACTGTGTATGTGCACTTAGAGTTTATTTAAAAATCTAGTGTATGTGCTTTGGAGGTAAGAATTATTAAATGACAATAAACAAAAAAATAATACTTGTAGCTGATGAATTCTATGGTCCTGCATAAACAAACTGACCTTCCCTTTCCTAAGTCAGCAATTTTGAAAGAAATAATATTTATGGAAATGTTCTGAGGTCTTTGCAGGGGAAATTTTATAATAAAATTTTTAGTGGAAAACGTATTTTAGAATTTCAAAATAGTCAAGCTGTCTTCTGGTCATATTGAAAATTAACATATTTGTTTCCCTAAAAGGATACAGCTCATAATACCCCCATGCAGCACGGCTTTCTGTATAACTAGTGCAGGCTAAACATATCTGCTGTGTGTAGATGCAGCCAATCAACCAGGAATGATTAAGTTTTGGAGAAAACAATGCTGAGGGTAATGAGTTGTGTATGAGTTTGTGCAATCTACTGTACTGCCCACTTCTAGGACTGCATTTTGGATCAATATTCTTTCATTACTTAACTACCATGGCTAGCCTTGTGACACAGGTTAAGTAGTCCTTCGCAATGTGGGCATCCCATATCAGAGGCCTGGTTCAAGTTTGGCCACTGTGTTTCAGATTTGTCTTCTTGCAGATGCAATTGGTACGGGAGCAGATAGCAGCTCAGTTACCTGTGTCCATAGCATTCTTGTATGAGATCAGGATGGAACAGCAGCTTCTGGCATTGATCTGGTTCAGCAAGGCTGTTGTGGCCATTTGGAGTATAAACTAATAGATGTAAGATTCTCCCTCTTTCTCTCGTGCTGCATCACTCTTCCAAATAAATGAATAGACACACCTTTTAATAACAAGCTCATTAGTTATAAACATTTCCTTTTCTCTTTCCTCTTTTACATTTTCCCTTAATCTGCCTAAACTTTCCTTATATATTACTCCCTCTTCTCATTTTTCTTTTGCTGCTCTCATCTCTCTCTCTGTCCCTTTCTCTTACTTAACCAACTACGTGCACGTTTTACTTCTAATCTAAGATCAGTAGCTCTTCATGGACAGAGATTATTATTTGCCATTTCTTTCTTTCCAGACTTGGCAAATCAATTCCTGTAAGTTAGCAAATAATCTGAAAATAAAATACAGTGATAACATTTACATATACAAACTTATAGTTTGCATACACACATATTCCATAACTTAGTAAAAGCTGTCTTCTTACAGTGTAGTGAGAGTATGCTTTCAATATTAAAGGCTTGTCATTGACACAAAACACTGGGTAGAAATCAACAATCTGTCAAACCACTTGGGTTATGTCATATCTGTTGCTAACATAAATGTCTGTGAATCTCCAGATTGTTTCAGCAAATACCCTTTAAAGGACCATCTCAGCCAGAATCCCTTTATAATTTTCCAATTCTCTGAAAATATTCCATTTCTTAAAGCAAAACAAACTTCTTGTCCAGATAAGATGGCATAGATTCTTCTCTAGCTACTTGTTCCCATAAAATACAAGTCCTGGAAGTGACTCAAGTGTCAATCCAAATGAGAGGCCTGAAAAAGGAGAAAGATCACAGATGAATCGTCTTAATTAGGGAGACAGCAAAGCAGCATAATCCTGCCCTGTTTCCACTAATGAGAGTGTTAGTCCAGACCCAGATGTGCCTGGCTGCTCATGGAACAAGGGTTCCATAAGCAAGGATAGACTCATCTCCCACTTAACAGGGTTCCTGGCTGTGGTCAGCCAAGCAGCACAGGTGAGGGAGAAGCATCCAAAATCTTTCAGACAATACTCAACAGAGGGAGTCTCCCTACCTCATCGAGCCCAAGATATTCTTCATTCTCTCAGGGAATGCGGAAATGGCAGCACAAGAGGGACTCTCTCATAACAAATGATCGTCCTTCTGCAAAGGGAGCAGGAGCCATCACAAAGCTGGTTAACACAGGAAGTCATCACTTCCCAGTAAGATGAAGGTTTCAATAAGCAGGAATGACAATCAGTGATTCTTCCTCGCGTAATCCAATTCTAAAACACAAGTTTTTCCATTATTACATAGAGTATAAATTTAAGATTCTTAATTATTATGGCATTTGGTAATGCACTCCTTTTTTTCCTACAGCTTTACTGAATTTTCCTGGAATACATTTAAATAAAATATGCACTTAATTTGTCAAAATCAACCATGTCATTCTCTCTATTTTAAATGAAGTAACAAATAGAGAAACATGCAAAGGCATTTGTTGTTTTTCCTATTAAATCCTCATAAATACTAATTTATACTTTTGGAGAATTTGTTGATATTTACAAAATTTATGATTAATACAATTCCTATCATAATAAAATAACTTTATTACTATGTTTACTATTCTCTTTCTCTCATACTACCTGATATTGTTTTCTTGTTCTTATCTGCTGCCTCCTATTATTGATTTGATTTACCTGTATATTGTAAGTTCCTTCAAAATCATTTGCAGTATAGATATTTTCTTTAAAATATTTATTCTTTTTCTCACAGTACATACTTTAGTAATTCCTTCAGTATAAATTGCTTTTATTTATTTTTTAACATTTATCTTCCTTTCTCCATCCCTCTCTCCCTCCCTTCCTTCCTTCCTTCCTTCCTTCCTCCATCCCTCCCTCTCTACCTCTTTCCTTTCTTCCTCCTTCCTTTCCTACCTCCTCATCTTCTCCTGTCTTGCCTTTTTCTTCTTCTTTTTTTTTTTTGTCTTTCTTTTCTGTCAGTGGGGTAAAGATTTGTTTGGTACTCAAAAAAAATGGTTCAGATGCTTGTACCCCAATTACCTGTCATTATTTATCTTGCAGTACAGTAGCTTTAAAAACAATTTAGCCATTGAAACAGAGCTTATCCTTCCATCTTCCTTACATAGGGCAGGTATCATCTTAACCCCCAACCAGAGAAAGAGAATATATGTGCCCAGCATGGTGGCCTAGCAGGTGCCTTGCATGTGCTGGGATCCCATATGGGCTCCAAAATCCCATATGGATGCCAGCTGCCCCACTTGCCATCCAGCTCTCTGATTGTGGCCTGGGAAAGCAGTCAGGAATGGCCCAAAGCCTTAGGACTCTGAACCCATGCAGGAGACCCAGAAGAAGCTCTCAGCTAATGGCTTCGGATCAGCTCAGCTCTGGCCATTGCAGCCACTTGGTGAGTAAACAAACTGATGGAAGATATTTCTCTCTGTATCTCTCCTCCTTTTTGTAAATCTTACTATCCAATAAAAATAAAAAATATATATTTTAAAAAAGAATGACTGGAACATAGCTGATTCGAAGCCAGGAGCCAAGCCAATGACTCTGGGCTGTCTTCGACTGCTTTCCCAATCCCCAAGCCGGAGGCAGGCTAGGAAGCAGGGATGCTGGAATTAGGACTGGTGCTCTTAGGGATCCTGATACATACAAGGTGAGGAGTTTAGCTACTAGGCTACAGTGCAGGATTCAAATTGCTTCACTTTTGCTGGAATACTTAGAAAACTTCCTGAAAAAGTATACTCTAGAGCCTATGAAAATGTCATAAAATGAAATAAACAAAAAAGAAAAGTATATTCTAAAAATGCATTGAGGGAGCTGGGTGCATTATTTCTCAAACCTTATATAAATTAACTACATCCTTGGGTAACATTGCCCAGGGTCATTTCCCCCTTTGACATTTTCCTCTTTTGTCTTCTAGGACCAAATTTCATATAAAATTTCTAAACTAGTCAACTTCATTTATTGAATATTTTAGCATCTCTGTCTTTTAAAATTTTAACTATTTGTTTGAAAAGCAGAGTCTCAGAGAGAAACAGAAATGGCCACAACAGCCAGGAATGGACCGAGCAAACCGGGAGCCATGAACTTGTTCTGTTCTCTCACAGGAGTGGCAGAAGCCAAGGTAGACGGTCATCTTTGGAAATTAACCCATTGTGACATAACATATCATTAATCACCTAAGCCTGATTTGATGTATTTCATGAAGGGAAACCATAAATCTCTGTAAAAATTTTGTTGTTGCTGTGAAGTTTCATGTTAGTTTAGTATTGGTTTATTTAACCATTAGATTAGGTTATAATCCACATACATTGAATTAATATGTTCACTAACTACTGGTATAATTTTGTCTGAGAAATATATTTTATCTGAGAAAGTTTAGTAAGATTATAGGATATGCAATCATTATCATAATCTCATAATCCATATTTATAACATTTTTTGCATAAAACTTATACCCTCATGCCTATTTTCTGTCACAAGTTGCAGACAATCATTGATTTACTTCCTAGAAATTTTATATAAATTAAATCATATGATATTTGTATTTCTACTATAATTATGTGTCAGTATCACTTTTTGTTCTGATTAGTGTTCATTACTGGAAATACAACATTTTTCTTACCCACTTAATAATTGATAGATATTTGAATGAATTTCAGGGATATTATAAAACCACTATGACAACCTGGACTACTGCTGAACATGTTATCATATGTAAGGATCCTATTTTGATGCCTATACAATCACAGATTTTCTGGGTTGCATGGCAACGTATGTAATAGCTATTGTAACACATTAG